CCTCCAGTCCGGCTTCCGCGGGGTCAGCGGCCGGGGCGCGACACTCACCCTGGAGCTCGCTGGAGCCGCGGACCGCCGCCCCGCGGCGCAGACGCAGCCGGCACAGGGAGGACCAGCCACATCTGTGGGTCGCAGCGGCGGCGGCCAGGCCCGGTAACATCCTGGCGGGGCAAAGGCCCCTACACGGACACCGTCTCCTGCCTCCGCGCCACCACCGGAACCAACTGACTCCATAGACCGGGAACCTGCTAGTACCCACGCCTGCGCCGCCGCGGGCGGCCTCGGTAACCCGGAAATGGTAACGTCATTTATTGACGCCCGCCGCCGAGGCAGCGGAAGTGACGTACCCTGAGCGCGAATCGCGACGCTCTGCGTCCGCAGACCGGTCCCAGCGTCGTAGGGAGGGCGTGGCTGCCGGGGAATTGTGGTGTTTATTCTTGTCTTCCTCCGCACTTGTACTTTTACGTCTTGCTTTTAAACCGTAGCGTAAATTGGATCTTAATAGCCAAGAAAGTCTTGAGAGAAGCGGCAGCCATTGGGGCTTTCTCTTTTCTTCTTTTTTCCGGGCTCGAAACCTGGGCCCTGTGTTGGAAGGGGGAGGGAAGGCGGGAAGGACGGACGGACCCGGTCCTCCGACTCTGCGGAGCCTTCCCTGATAAGCCCAAACCGAGGCCAGCGTGTCTTCAGTTTTGTCCGAACCTTTAGCAAAGTACGTCGTTCTTCTCCTGTAATATCATTTTTTGCCCGGTACCCTGAAGGCAAGTATCCACTTCGGAATCAGTTACTTGCCCTACTAACCTCTGAACGTCAGATCCTCGTCCGTAATACAACAGAATAAGACTTTTATAAAGTCAAGATTTGTCCGCATAATGGGAGATACGCAGACATGGAAACAGAGGTCAGCCTGGTCCCAGAGAGGAGGAGGCCGCAACAGTGTTCACTCGGCGTTAACTGTGTTTCGCTCTGACTTGCTCATTCGGGCCCTAGCTCGGCGGGCTTCCTCCATCACCTTGCTATAGAGTTAGGCCTGGTTATTCTCTGCCTTGTTGCTCTGTATACATTTCTTCACGACGCTTATCACTGTGTGAAACTATTTTCTGTCTCAGGATAGAAAGTAAAGTATCATGTGTGAAACTATTTTATTTTCCGTCTCTCAGGATAGAAAGTAAAGTACCATGCAGGAATCTTGTGCTTTGTACATTGCTGTTTCCCAGGGGTTAAAACAATGTCTGGCACAAATTAATTAATTGAATGGAGTGCAGGGTAGTTTGTTTTAAAATTAATCTGAGTCACTTACCTATATTACTACACAATAACTATTTCAAGGGGAAATAAATTAGCATGTTCCTAATTTTAAAAGAATCAAGCCTTTTATACTGATTGAGATATGTACAAGAAAATGAGTGAAGTCATGGTGATTAAATGATCACAAAATTGATAAGCAAATTTAACTTTCTAAGGCAAACATAGTTTAAACATTAAGTGGCCATGCCCTGGCCGGTGTTCTCAGTGGTGAGAGCGTTAGCCAGCCCAGCAAAGAGTGCTGAGTTCAATTTCCCGTCAAGGGCAGGTACCTGGGTTGCAGGTACCATACCCGGCACCAGTCGGGTGATGGAAAAAATATCTTTGGATGAGGATTAACAAAATAAATAAATAAATATAAACATTAAGTGGTCAAACGTAAAAATGCTGTTCCACCACCATCTGTCCTTCCCCTTCAGTATCTCCCATTCTCACTTCCTCACTGTAGCCATGGAGCTGATCTCACCCACACCTGCCAGGCTGGGGTCGGGCAAACCCAGCTATAGACTATAAAACAATGCACTGTACTTGGCACCATGGCCAGGTCCAATTGGATGGGCTGCCTGGGCAGCCACAGTGTGACCCACAGCTCCCCCCACTTATGGGCTGAAATGTTCCATTCATATGTTGAAGCCCTGACTGCCATCAGGGCAGAAAGTGACTGTATTTGGAGATAGGACCTTTAAAGCGGTGATTAAAATGAGGTCATTAGAGTGGGTCTAATCCAATCTGACTGGTATCCTTATAAGAAAAGGAAATTTGTACATCCAAAGAAACACCAGGGATGTGTACACACAGAGGGAAGACTATTCAAGGACACAGTGAGAAGGCAGCCATCTACAAGCCAAGGAGAAGCCTCATCAAAACCAAACCTGCCACACCTTGATTTTGGACTTCCAGCCTCCAGAACTGTGAGAATATAAGTTTTCTTTAGTTGAAGACACCCAGTCTGTGGCATTTTGTTATGGTAGCCCAAGCAAATTAATACAGATCTCACCACTGGTCTTTGCTGTTTTCTGTCACTACTACTACTAATAAAAATAAAGATTAATCTTTATTACATATCAAAAATATGTTCCATAAATATGCATAACCTCTTTACTCAAAAATCTGAATATTACTATTAAAATAGATTTTAACAGAAATTCAACTTTATGATATAAAATACATAAGGGCTTAACTCTAATTGTAACTGTAAATATCATTAACCTTTGCTATAATGTTACTTAAATGCTTTAAATTCTTTTTAAAAAAATATTTTTATTGATTTTTAGAGAGAGAGGAAAGGAGAGAGAAAGAAACATCGATGTGAGAGCAGAACATCAGTTGGCTGCCTCCTGCACACCCCCTACCAAGGATGGAGCCACAATCCGGGCATATGCCCTGACTGGGAATCGAACCAGCAAACTTGGTGCACGGGAGTACGCTCAACCAACTGAGCCACACCAACCAGGGCAATGCTTTAAATTCTTAAAATAGCCGCTGGTTTCATCTATCATCTTAATCAAAACTGATCAGAGCTTCTTAGAATTTATTATGCACAATAGGATTTTAATTTTGTTTGTATGCATTTTTTAAATACATTTTTGCAGGGTTAAAAGAACACAGTTGCATGATATGTAGAACGTAATGCTGGTGCATAGTACATTTTCACCAGGGCTATTTCCTACCCTCCTTTCCCCTGATATAGTCAGAGTGTAACTTGACTTAAACACTGTATTAATTTTGATAAATGAAACTGTGACTTGCCAAATAAATTGGAAGAATAAAGTGGATTATGCTGTTATCTTGTTTAACCCTCACAGTGCTGTATCACATAATAAAGTTTCCATAGACTTGGGTTGAAATGCTTCTGCAGTTGTCTTGGTGTTTATACCTATGTTGTCATCATATACTTGTCCTGCTGGATAATCTTCAAAATATCCCCAAGTGCTGGAAATTAAGGCAATGTCAGTTTTAGGATTCTTTAGAAGAATTTCCTTTGACCCTAAATTCTTTGAGAAATCCCATCCTTACCAAGAGACTGCTTTAATGCTTCACTTGAGACACATTCAGCAGCTGCCTATAGGTACTAAACAGGTAAGATTCCAGCATCGTGGAGCTTATGACCTATTGAAGGAGACGGAAAAATTTACAATAAACAGATCATTTTTAAATAGTGATATTAGTAATAGTATTGATCCTTTACTAATTGCCACATCCTCTATGTGCATGATATCATTCAAAACACCTTAGTAAATTATAGAAGATGGAGAAACTAAGTCAAAAAGATCTTGCTCTTATACCCCATACTTCTAAGTCAGTGTGTTTTGTCCTTTGGAAGAAAATATGAAGTCTTTCAAAAGACATGAATGACAATGTGGTCTTTCATTGTTATTCTGAGATGTAGGTCAAGAAAGAGCATTTCCCCAGATTTTTTTTACACCATTTATGTGTGATCAACAAGTTGTCTGAGTTTCATGAGGATCTGTGATATAAATAGATGCTTAAATATAGGTAACTATTAAGTCAGGGAGACGAGAATAGAAGTAGGAGAGAGATGAAGTATCATTTGATTATTACCAGGCATTATTATCAGATTTTCCATTAACTCTGAAAAAGGTCCAACGTCTTTCAAAAATTTGCTCTATACCTGAGCTGATGATTCCTTAGTTTCATTTTTTCTATAGCTTTGGGAAAATAATGATTCTGGTTATGAGACAAACTTGACTGTTTATCTGGCTTAGATAATCCACTATAAAGTAAAATGAGTGGCTCTATCATGACGCTTACCAAACAGATCTACTTTTGAATACAAATGTACTAGTTGGCATCATGTTTTGCCTGTGGGATTGGGGGAGGAGGGAGCTTTCCCACCTGAAAACTTCAAAAAGAACGTGGCTGCCCCACTGGCGTCGCTCAGCGGTTGAGCATCAACCTATGATCCAGGAGACTGAGGTTCAATTCCCAGTCAGGGCACATGCCTGATTTCGGGCTCAGTCCCCAGGAGGGGTCGTGCAGGAGGCAGCTGATCAATCTCTTCTTCTCCCTCTCGCTGAAATCAATAAAGGTAAATTAAAAAAAAAAAAAAAAAGAACATGGCTCGCATGTGGATAAAAGGGAAAATATCTAGCCACAGCTGAGGGTGTCATCCCCTGCTGTACAACCATTGTTAGAAGCAATGTGGGTCTGCACGGACACCTTTTGTATATATATATAAGCAAGCCTCTCCTTAACAAGCACAGGAAATGAAACATGGAGTTGATATGGTTCTGACTGGTTTGCTCATCTTCATCTCTCTTTTTCAGAGAGGTTGAGTGACTTTTCCAAGATCAATGAGCAAAGATGTGCTAAAACATAGAATTAGACTCAGGTCCTCTTACTCCAAATCTTTGTATGTGCTTGAGTGAGGCAGGGACTGGTGGTTCTGCTGGGTTTTCCCTCCACATTATTCTATGAAGTTATTTGGGGGGATTTTATGACTATTATGTGAAATAACCACATAGTGCTCCATTACCATTAAATATAGGTTCACTCTTTGCCACTTCCAGTCAGGAATTAAAAGAATTATTTCTCCAGTGATGACCACATACCTGGGTCCCAGCTATCTTATTTAACTCTTCTTAGCTTCTCCAATAACACCGCCTCCTAAAATCCACCCAGTGAAGTGGAGCATTTATCTATAAATGTACCCCACCATGCCCCACCCCTTTCCTCAGAAGCTAGTGAGCAGGATTGGGATTACAGTGATTTCATCTCAGAAGTCATTAAATGCTCACTGGGGCAAGAGAGATCGAACTGTTTGATAACCTTTATCCTTGAGAGAAGCTGGGGACTGACAGCATGTAAATTTGGTACTTTGGGGGAGCAGCATTTGTCAAAAGAGTCAATTTCTTCCCTGAAGCCACAGGTGGGGGCACCAAGAGACGTTCTCATTAAGTTTTTCAAAATTTAACTTTGTATTGAAGCATAAT